ACAATACAGCGCAGAATCGCATGGCCGGACGCACTCTTAGTGAAAAAGTTTTCCTCCATTAGTGGAAAAGGAAGGGCGCCTTTTGCGTCTGGATATACTTAGCAACAGAAGGGCGCCCTGTACGTTAGGCACGAAGTATAGGAAACTTGCATGGTTAAAAAGAAGGGCGCCGCCTACGTTGGGCACGACTTCCGCCTCATTTTTACAATGGCGAGAACTCTATCTTGTATTTCTAGTATCTTTGATAAAGCTTATAAAACAAGGAAGATCTAATTCATCTTCAAAGCTCCCATAATTCCTGCTAGATACAAACTATAGTTTATCCTTAAGTTTAACTTTGTTTTTACGCCCTCTTCAATCCATAAATTATCATGATTTGCCATACGGAAGCAAGTTTAAAAACAAAATTAGGCCTAAATTAAAATAGTGTTTAATATTTAATGATAAATGTGATTCTATACCAAAAGATCGCTTGAATCTTGCAAAATTTATTAATTTATTTGACTTACTAATATTGCCAAATCAATTTGTTCTATGTCTATCCGTTAAGGAAAATAAATTATAGAAAATACATTTTTTTTATCCCTGATTATTTGATGGCCTGGCCGTATTTAATGATAAATTTGATTCTATACCAAAAGATCGCTTGAATCTTGTAAAATTTATTAATTTATTTGACTTACTAATATTGCCAAATCAACTTGTTCTATGTCTATCCGTTAAGGAAAATAAATTATATATAAAATATATTATTACAGTATTACGCCAGATTGTATGTACAGTATCTTTACCAGCTGCCACGCACTGAGTTTGAGCTGAGCTATCATTGGTTTAGCGCCCTCACAATTGTCCCTAAAAGTTGTTTTGGTAGCGCCCCGAGAGAGAGAGAGCGGCTAGGCGAGATCTTTCAGTCACTTTTCTGAAGGCCTAAGCCTAGCTTATGTCTTGAAACAGTAAGTAATCAGTATTTATTTGTGCCAATGACCATAAGCTAGACAGCTTGACCCTAAGATATTTCTGTAGTCTGATTTCAGGCTAGCTAAACTACGGCCTAGGCCCTACTACTAGGTCTAGGCCTAGGGAGGCCTAGCCTCGGCTGCGTGCGGTCTAGCCTGGCCTAGGCCTAGTCCGCCTAGATGCGCCCAATCAAAGAAGCCCAAGGCTAACGTTAGATAGCTGGTAGACCTAAGGCCTGCCTAGTCAGATAGTTGGGCATGTGTGAGAACTTGCCAAGACTAGCAAGCGCCAGTGGCCGGGCGCGGGCTACAGAGTTATAATTTTCTGATTCGTTTTGAAATTGTCTTGATAGGCAAATCGAATATTGCCATGGGCTCTTTTTCCCACTTTTAATGTTCATTATTATTATTATCTTGCATTTTTTTACTTTTATGACATAAATTGTTTAGCCTCATTTTGTCTGTATTTGAAAGTTTTATTTGTTTAAATGTTTTACTGATTTTATATTTTCCCCCACCCCCAAATCTTTTTAATATTGAATTTGTTCTATTTTTATTATTATTATTATTACACTTTCATGTTTATAATTAGTTTATTTTTTCGCGTTTTTACTTTTATGACATAAATTGTTTAGCATCGTTTTGGTCTTGCCGTTTTGACTTATTGCCGTTTTGGACAAAAAGTGTTGCTGTTTTTGTTTTTGTTTTTTTTTTGGTCATTGCCGTTTTGACTCATTGCCAATTTGGTTTACTGACGTTTTGTCCAGAAACCATTAATAGGCACAGCCTAGGCCTAATATTTATATAGGTCTAGGCCTATTAAAGGTTTCTGGCTGGACTCCCTTAGAATTTCAGGATCCACTACTGAAAGTATATTGTCATGTTTTTATTAAATTAGTGTATCAAAACTTTGAAATAATTTGAAATATTAAAACAAAAAACCTTTGAAAAATGAATAATACTTTATTTTCAATTACGTACAGGCAAAATGAATTCGACAGTGAAGGCTTGAATGGGAATGACCGCAAATTATAACTCTTCATTGAAACAACATTTTTACGCAGCTGAAGATGGCATATCTGTCAACCAAGGCACTTGACTGGTTCAACTACAAAAACTTCCTGTTCCTCTTTCTACTCTATTTCGTTCAGGGTATACCATACGGCCTCCAAGCGCGCTTCCTCCCGATATTTCTCCGCAGTACAGGAACATCTCTGGCCAGAATTGGTCTCCTTAAGCTTTTGTTATTGCCATGGTTACTGAAGATATTGTGGGCACCTTTATTTGATTGGATGCAATCGAAAAGAAAATGGCTGCTCATGAGCATGGTGGGACTGTTCTGTGTCTGCTGCCTTGGTTCTTGCATCAAGCTTGATAATATTTCATATCTTTGTGCAATATTGTTGTTCCTGAATATTTTCTCATCCACTCAGGATATTGCTGTGGACGGACTTGCCATCCAATTACTTACAGACAAACAAGTTGGCCTGGGCAATACCATTCAAGTTGTAGGGTACAAATTTGGAAGCATCTTCGGTGGAGGAGTGCTGATGTGGTTGAGCACATACCTACCATTAAGTGGACTGTTCCTGTTCTTATCATTTTTGTATTTATTTTCAATATTTTGTATATTTTTATTTAATATGGATGAAACAAGAACATCTCTTTCAAGAACTATGGAACCTAATGGTTCTCTTTCACCTGTTGACAATTATAAACCACATTATAATGGAGAAACACATTATAAAAGACTTTCCAAGAGTGACGAACACAACCAATCATATCAAGTGCATGATGTTCAAGTGGGTCATGTGATAAGCAAACAAAATCCACTATTTTGGCTCAAAAAACTTATCTATCTCCCAGGTACATTTTGGATAATCATCTTGGTCATTGTGTATAAGCTAGGTAAGAAAGACCATTTTCATTTATTTATTTATTACCTCCACCAAGAAGCTTATATATTCACTGCTGTCTGTCTTTTAGCAAGATTACGCAAAAACTAATGAATGGATCATCATAAAATTTATTGGAATGGTACATAATCCCTTGCGAAAGAAAAGGACAAGGTCATGGAAATTTGATTTTATACCCTCCAGTATAAAAGATTATTAGAATCGCCCCTCATATTTAGGCAGCACTCCAAAAAACAATGTTCCGGGAAATGACGGGCAATTCCATTATTTTGTTGAGGGTATGCAGTGTCGCCCATCATACATGGCCTGTGTATTGCTGGTACTGTATTCGGGCACAGGACAGAGTTTATGCACTCCATGAGTGCTCTAGTTATAAATGTATTTGTATTTGTTGTCCTTTCCTTGTTTTTTTTTTTTTCAATTACATCTGTTTACTTGTTCTTAACGCATGAGACCCTCGGGTGATATAAATGCGTAACCTTTTTATTCAACATCAGAAACATGACCACTTCAAATCCACTGATTTATATGTATTTTTAATTTTTATTTTTATACTGAACAATTTTAATGTTTATATTATTACAATTATTTTTAGGAACAATATTAATTTATATAGTAAATTTTTATTTTTATTAAATTTTTTGACAACTTTACCTTCAATCTTTATGAAAAGTACTTGTTATTTTTTATGTCAAATCAACCAATCGCATATGGCGTACAGGTCATCTCATTCATCTATGGATTGGAACACATCCTACAAATTATTGCAGGAGATACATTTTTCAAACAAGTCAGTTGCTCAAAATGACCGTGCCCGATGATGCATATTATTTTAGATATTGTAAAGTTTGTGTTAATATAAGTACTTAATTTATTTTTTATTAAATCGCAACCCTATGATCTTGATTGCAGGTGAGCAGGGTTGTGTTGACCAGTTCCCATTGTACCTGGTGGACAGGGGTGTGCCTGCACCCACTGTTGGGTTTTGGTCTGGGGTTGTCTGTCAAGGCCTATCAATCATCGGCTCTCTTTTAGGTGGATTGTATTTGTCAAAATTTTGGTAGGTGGTAGTACACTTAAAATATATATTGAAAATATTGATTATTAAAATGTTTACCAAATACAAGGATGAATTGTCATAATTATATTATACAGGTAGTACAGGTTTCTTGTACAGTATATGTGGCAAAGACAAGCCAAACCAGTCACTCGTCGCAAATCGTGTTTCCGAGAAAATTGCCAAATCATGCTGTAATGTCAAATTTTAAAAAATCTATTTTATTGCGCTAAACTAATCTTTACATATCTATACATCATTCTATGCTGTTATTTTCCTCATTTTCAATGTTAAAACAACACTTTTTAAGGATTTGATGATAGTTTCTGCATGAGTAATGCCTGAAATCATAAACTTTGAAGGCTCATTTCTCATATATTGTTCTTTAAACAGCTGTATGTTTAAACGCTTGTAACTTCATAAGGAAATGTCCGATTTGAATGATTTTTTTACCATTTTATAGCTGTTATTTTACTCTCTAAAACTGTATTAATAACTCAAAATTGATTTTTGCAACGAGTGACTGGTTTGGCTTGTCTTTGCCACATATTGTATTCCAAAAAAGGTGATCAGTGCCTTGTCAGGAAAACTTGAATATAAAGATTATAATCAACCCAGGGACTGTTTCCTGAATCAACCATATAATATTAGAATGTGGTACATTAAAACTCTACCTAAAAATATAATGTCATAGTAGAATCTAGGAAATCCTTTAAAAATTTATGTAGAACATTGAATTGCTCATGAATATAAAATCAGTAATATTATGTACTGTTTAATAATTGTGAGAAATATATTTTTTTTACTTAAAGTATATAAAAAAAGCAATGCAAATAGTGAGGTGATTTTTTTTTTTTTTTAGCTTAAGGCATACCGTACAGTTATATATTTTTAAAATGTTATTATGAAATACATTTTGAAACCCTATTTGTTTGTTTTCCAGGATATCACCATTGTCTCTCCTCAACATGCTGTTCTACTTTAGACTTATACCGATGGTTCTTGAATTTCTTCATGTCATACATATCATAAGCTCAGGTTAGATATTCTTGATTAGTAATAATACTACTAATAATAGTAATTTAGTAATACTATATTTATGGGGGTTTTTTTAGATTATTTAACACGTTGACTGCCAGACGTTTTTCAAGGTTCCTTTCCGTATGCCAAAACAATTTTATTTCCTGATGATGACATAATTAATGTCGAAATATTGAATCCCAACACGATGGCATGTATTTCAATACTTGGAGTATGTATTATACTTTCTAAAACAATTTTACGTTTACAAACATATTTTTTAAAATTTTTATCTATAGAGTCTTATATCATCAAAATGATGTGTCTAAGAAAATGGTGGGAAAATATTAGGGGACGAGTAAACTCGTCGACGGCACTATGATAGCACTTTTTAATGACTATGCCAAGTACGAGTAATCTCATCCGTTTTTTTGCATAAGTTGGTATATGTTCAAAAGGCGCCCCCACTTGTGCCGTTCAAGTGTACTACCGGCAACATAACACAACAAACATATATACATTATTTGTACGTTATCATCTAGGTGTATCTCCCCAAAATACCAGCCGTTGAGCCTGTGGTTCTACAATGTATAACAAAGAGGTAATAAACGCTAGAATTTTACTCCAATTTTGACGAGTATACTTGTCCCTGGCACCATAGCAAAACCCTGTGGGACGAGTATACTTGTCGCTGGCAGCCAACATTTTAAATCTTCTAAGTTATTATTTCATAAATACAAAAATCATTGTGTTCAATGTACAGTAAGATACTGTAATAGCAAGTAATCCAAGTTTATTTCAATTTTATTTTTATTCTAATCAAATAAATTGTTAATATCTATTTCCAGATATCTCAGGATTTATTGCTATGTGCAGTTTACAACTGATAGGGGGCGCTATCACTACCACCATGTTTACCCTAATGATGCAGTGCTCACAGAAGGCACCAGTGGAAGTTCAAGGAACACATTACACCTTACTAGCCACCTTAGAGGTGATGGGGAAACTGCTGTTTGTTGCTGGTGTTGGTTGGCTGTCGGACAGTCTAGGCTATTCATTCATGTTCTGTATGTTTATAATAATCTCTGTGTTGGCAGTAACATTTGTTAGATTCTTGGAAAATGGGAACTACTTGATAAAACATTGAAATTTGTACGAGGAAAATTTTTAATTAATGTACTTCTAGTGAGCCAAAAAATATATTTACTGTATTAGGCGAGACTTTTTTTTTATACCTTGTTTCGCGAACTTGTTTTTTTGAAGGTGGTGAAAAAAAAATTGTTTTCTTATTTAGCAAATAAGTTTGCCAAAAACATCCAGATGGAGGAGAGAATAAAAATAAACATTTATTGCTGAATGTAAACAGTTTAGCTATGGGATGGTTAAATGCTTTAAATTTATATTAGGAATAAATATACATATCTTATTTTTGGAGATTTCAAGGCAGCGGCGGGAGTAATAAAAGTTTTAAAAAATAACTTTCATTTTTTTTTAATATCCATTTTTCCGTGGTGTGCATTTTCAGTCAAATTATCGTAAATAGTTAGCCATGCATGGGAGTACATGCTCAGGAAAGGTTTATTCCAATCGCATTGTATTCTACTGCTTGAGGAAATCATTGTTCGCAACCCATGCATGCAACTTGGGTAGTTTCACCAAGAGGATTTTGATTTATTATACAAGGTATTTTGTGGGAAAATAGTCAAGTTTTTGCACAGTAAATGATTGAGAAATTATGTATGGGAGCTAAAAATCAAAATTATTTTTCGCTATAGATCAAGTTTAATGTATAATTAATCATGCCCAACAAATCGTTTATTCAGCGTTATTTTGGTATGCACAAATAACTTTGGAAGGCAATTACTCAACGTGTTTCTTGAGAGTGCTGTATTTTCACTTTCCAATAACTAAGGCATGAAATGTTCAATTTCAATGAATGACCCCTCATTTTAAAGATAACATACTCGGGTGTAAAAAATTACCAATACTGTAAATTGAATTTCAACTTTTGATACAACTTGCCTCATATGTTTCTGTTTTTATATAGTCAGTGCAATAACTTTTTTTAAGCCAGGTAAAAAAAATATTGGTTTCTTGCATTAGTTTGTTTCCCTTAGCTTTCCTTTTGCCAATCAGATTCATTGTTGCCATAACAACATGATCCTTTCTTTTAGTCACAATTTTTTTACTTGGCCTTATGCTCAGGAATAGTGAATCCTGTATATTAATTGCACCAGTGAACATGATGTCAAGAATATACTGTAAATAAATATAATGTATGAATATATTTAGGATACACCTGTAATTTTCTGTAAATATGTATATAAAGGTATTCTTGGATTTCAAATTACAGTACTGTAATATATTGCTACAACAAATATACTATGTTTTCCATTTTTTAATACACAGTGTCCCTCACAACCAATAAGCAAATACAGTATTGTCACAACATAAAACAATACTAGTGGTAAGGGGTCGTTCACAATTATTAACATATTTGCAAGTGTACAAACAGTACTCTTTTTCGGAACCCCTTCCCTCCCATTTGAAATTCTACATTTTGCAAAACCATTCTTTATTTTTTACGAGTTCCATAGTTGGCTACATGAAAATGTATATTACATCCTGGTTGCATTATAATTGGTCATATAAGTCAGTATTTTATTTGAATCAACATTTTCGTGCATATGTAAAAGTGAACAAATTTGTCTACAATATAAATCTATTATTTCAAATATTGTATTTTATTTTGAATCAAAATTTTCAATCAAACGTAAAAGGTTATAAATTTGTCTACACATGCCCCCCACCCCACTACCATACTGTTTTGTACACTTCTGAAAATGTTGTGTACGACTCCTAATGTTAATGGCATCTTTTCCTTATGGATAAAACTCTACTGAGAGCATACATTTGAAAGATTTTTTAATTTCATGGTCAGTTAAATTCTATCTTTATTTAATAATTCATGGAGTCAACATCAGAATACGCACTTCATGTTATCGTTTTTGTTGCTTTGGAATCCATAAATATCTTCATGGGAGGTATTGGTTTGATTTTGCGCCCAGCCCAGCCTCCCTTCCGCTGCCACCACCCACTTGCTGGTCTCCATCCAAGCCAACGATTACGACCTGCTTTACCTGGGGAAGCAAACAAAAATGATAAATGACATGTTTACAGTAACTTAATAATTAACATTAAAAAAGAAAAAAAGCACGAGTTGAAAAGGCAAAAATGATATTCTTGTCAATCTGACAGTCCTATTTAGGAATTATTTTTGAATTACAGCATTAATGGTCTATGAAAGGTATGTATTGAGTCTTCCTTAATGCTGACTTAAGTTTCAGAACCCACAAACTGGGTTAGCCAACAAAAATAATTGAGATTTCTGCTGTAGGGCACCTAGTATTTTTGCCAAGGATGGTTGTAGGAACAAGGGGTGTGTCAGATTGACATATATTAATGATTAAATATTTCATTAATTTTCTTAGACAGGTGTAAATTCAAATACCACCATCTGTTGTAATATTGTTATTCTTCATCATGAAAAACACTGTTAAATTTTTACCAATGACACGCTGATTGTGGGCTTCATTGGACACTCTCCCCATGGTAGCCATACACTTGTCGCTTACACTCATCTCGCGTTTTGAAGGCATTTTCAAGATGGCTTGACCTCCGACCTTGCGTATCAGCACCATTGCTGTGCCAGCAGCACGGCCATAATGTCCTCCAGCCCCAGGGTAGGGTTCAACACAATGCACCTGAGCACCAATCGGCAGGGCAGCCAATGGGTGTGCATCCCCTTCGTTGGCCAGAACTAATAAATATGCAAATGAGGTTAAAGAATATGAGAAATACACTCCTAATAGTCTCTGTAGTAGTAGAAAGGTTTTTCAGTTTTTACACAAGCGCTGTAATCAGTTATGAATATACAAATAAGTCTATAAACAGTGGCAGTTGCAGTGTGAGGGGGAAAAATTAATCCCTCAATGTCGGCTAGGATTTGAGGGATTGATTTGAGACACATTTTATACTTTGTTTCGCGAATTCATTTTTTAAATATCCTCAGAGGGCAGAAAAGAAAAATAAAATAAAAGTTTGTTTTCCTACTTTAGCAAATAGTTTTGCCAAATACATCAACGTGGAGGAGAAATTAAAATAAAAGTTTATTGGTGAATGTAAAACAAAGTAGTAATGGGATGGTTAAATTTCAAGGCAGTGGCGGGCATAATAAAAAACAACTTTTTTTTCTGAAATTTCCTCTTAGCGGTTGCGCTAATTGAATTAAATTCTATCAGCATGCTTGCTAAAGCAGAATTCTCAGAATAGCTGAAAATGACCCAAAATTGCCCAAGCATCTCAACCTCAGTACTGCACTGTACTTACCTGTCATTCTTCCCACTTCGCACGATGTTTTAATAATATCGCCAGGTTTCATGTTCACCGTAGACAAAATGTATCGTTTATGATTGCCGCCTGCCACTAGTGCAATCCGAGCGCTACGATTTGGGTCATAGAGAATCTTCAGCACTTTCTCCTCCTTAACGGAGCCATCCATTGGGGGTGTACGGTGAAAATCAATCATCCTATAGCACCGCTTGTGTCCACCGCCACGACCTGTGATGGTGACTTTACCTGAAATGTTTTGCCAAAATTTTAAGTGTTAAATAATTGTATTCTGTGGACTGATTATGGAAAGGAACCTCAATATGGACCATATTAATCAATTTTGCTAGTCACTCCAACAATGCTTTTATTAATATACAGTACATGAGATGTATAAAACCTTTTTATACATACAATAAAATTTGTTCAAATATTACTGTATCTGGTCTTTAAATCAGCACAAACTATTGGAAATCAATAGCTTATATGATTGTTTAAAGATAAGACATTAAATCTGTATAATTTTTAAATGTGTTTTAAATATACTGTACTTCTGCCCAACAAATCAAGGGGAAAACCCTTATTTAAAAATTTAGCATTCAAATTTGAATTAAGTTTTATCAATGTCACAGAAACTCTTTGAATTTGCTGCTACAAATTTAAGGCCATGCAAAGACAACAGAAATCATAATGGCATTTAAACATCTGTTATCAATTATATTCTTATTTTCGGTTTAAAGCTTTACATACATATTTTAATTTGAGAAAGTAAAGAATCTTTGAGCCATCTTAAAATTATTTCTGCTTCTCTATAATACTATTTTCTAAAGCAAATGTTAATTACAGTACTGTATCACCTTTGTGGTTTCGTCCCGATGTCCTAACAAACCCTAGAGGGCGTATGGTATACTTGTTTTCTAATCCTCTATGTTTCCATTTCGCTTTTAATGGTATTTTCTTAGGTGTGTAAATAAATGTTCCATCTTCGTAAGTATTTGAAGACGCACTACCACTTGTGCTGCACGACCTCATCAACCACTCTGAACATAGTAAGTTCTTTCGGCAGTCATTCTTGCTGGTAAAAAATGACTGCTTGATAAAATGTGATGTACACGATGAAATCGCAGCAGTGTTCTGTTCCCTTAATGTTCTAATTGGTGGAGTTTTCCTTGCAAGCAATGAAAACGAGTTCCTGCACAGTGAGCCAGAGATGCTAACACCAGCTGAAAATTGTAGTTTTGCAATGTTAGAAAACAGCCTACTTAAAGACATAGTCATCTCTTATTATTCTCTGGTCGTTGCTGTGTGTGATCTGAAAAAAAAATATTGTAAAACTACAGTCAGTAGTTCATCAACAACTCCCAGTACAGTAGTCATAGAAAATGTTCTGGAGTTGGTTTTATTAAATTTGTATTCATTCAATATACTGGTTGTGCCAGAATTTACGAATCTGGGGTGGGAGGTGGAGGGATGAGTTGCTTGGACTTGACAAGTAAGTTGATATGGAAGTGACTGTCTGCTGTGGGAAAGGGCCAGGAGAGAACACCCCCACCTGTCCTCATCATCACTACTGCCGCCACCACCACCACCACCCTGGTTTTAATAGGACTCAAGCTTACAGTAAATTTATTGAATCAAAGCAGAGTGGTCTACCTACGGCCTAAGTAAGTACTACTGTAGTACTGTAGCAGAACTAAGGCTTGGGCCTAGCCTTGGCTACTACGGCCGGCCAGGCGCGAGTGGGCCCAGCCAGCTGCACCGCTGATATTGTCTACTCTATAGTACAGTATATAGGCCCTAGAGGCCTATACTATTGCATCCAGGTCCCAGATCATCTAGCCTAGCCTACTTTCGAACTTTCCCTATGATGTATTCTTTAGATAAGTAAAAAATATATATATACGCTAACTATGAAATGGATGTTTTTTCATAGTCCCAGGGCCTAGGCGTAGGTTTAAGACAAGTAAAGCTAGGCCAGTAATAGGCATACAGTACCGGTACCTCACTCGAGTCTCGCCATTATGCTCTAGCATGCGTTCAAATGCACTACATCATCAACCCCTGAACAAAGGTGTTAAACGCGTTACATAAAATCAGCAGTATTGATTGATCATGATCAATAAATTGTTGAAATATTCGCTGTTCAATAAAATGCATCATAGTATTCAGTTGATGATGCAGAGTAAAGGCTTCCCCGGCGGTTGGTGTACCCCTCGTCGGGTACTCACGATAAAGGCCTAACCTGAATTATCCTGATTTGATCAACTGTTTATTGTACTGTAGGCTTCCCTTTGTCTGTCATAAGCTAAAAGAATTAAATAAATTCCATATTTTATTTGCCTAATTGTATATTTTAATAAGTTACTACTTCTTGAGAAAAAAGTTTCCCAGTCAATACTTCAAGGACTTTTAAAACTGTTGTAAACTGATGTAAAAAGTGCAACCAACCTTTCATAAAGAAACTTTATTCATCTGATGTCTGAAAATTATTTGATTAAATCTTGATTTATTGATTTAAAATTTGTGTGGTTTAAGACATCCTGTTGATCGTTTGAAGCCATTAATTATTGAATGCAAAAGATTTGCTTCAAGTACTGTACAGTTCTGAAACACTTTTTATGGGACGTTTTTGTAAGTAGTGTTGACGGGTGCGACGGGTTAGCCGAATATTGAAACGCTTTCTTACGACACTGGCGCAGTATTCCGTGAGTGGTAAAAATTGAAAAGAAATCGTACCGAGTACGTTTTATCCTCGACGAAGTATAAGTTCAGAATATGGCAACAGCAATAGAGAGTTATGTAAACCGTATCCTTTGTAGCATTATTGCTCTATAATTAGGCTAAACTAGCCTTGCTTTTGGCCTTCTTTCTAGCGTAGGTAGGCATAGTGTGGACTAATCTAGTAGGCCTACCTAGGCTAGCTGGTCGAGTGCTGGAGAACGTAGGGGCCTAGGTCAGTGAAGTGTGACAAAGGGAGCTCTGGGGCTAGGCCCTAAGCCTACATGCTTGTTTTTTTAGGCCAGCAAAGAAATTCGCCTAGGGCCTAGAGAGGGAAGCAGGTCAACTCGGCCACAGTCAACTCGGCCACAAGTCAACTCGGCCACAAATCAACTCGGCCACAAGTTAACTCACTCAGCCACAAGTCAACTTGGCCACAAGTTATTTATAATTAAAATGAAATGTAAATATTACAGTTTCTGGATCCTTTTTCTTCAATATGATTAAAATGAAGTACACAGTATATTTTAGTAAAATTCTGATCATCATCTCATCGTCGTGAGATTGTTGTATACATTTCTTCACACTGTACTCTTATTCAACAGAGAAAACCTGCCACTTACAGAATGGAATAAAATCTGAAAATTGTAACATTAACAATTTAAGCAATCCTAATTATTAAGAAAAAGGGAACCAGTCATTTCAAGTGGATGCTACTTCAAGCGAAGGCCAATTCGAGCGGAATTTTTTTCGAGCGGATGCTAGTTTGAGTGGAAGAAGATCCACTTGTGCAAACAACAACCTGTGCGATTTATATACGAATTACTTCAAAATTTCCTATTTTTGAGCTAAAAATTTGACATTTTCAAAGGGGAAGGGGGCACACAACAGTTTAAGAATAGATAAGTGAGTAGCATAACTCAATTACAAATATAATTTTGAAAAAAAATAATGGTTACTCGTCTTGTGTGTGTGCTTCTCGTGCACTCTAGTAAAACATACTTTTTTTTAAGCTGAAAAGTGCACAATTCTATTATATTTTTAACTTGTTAGCGGCAATCTTGGTAGTTGGAGTTGCCAAGACTGTAATTCAAATATGGAGTAATTATCAAAAAGTACTAAAAACCTTTCAGAACCTTAGTAATCAGAGCATTTTTTTGCATTTAAACAAACAAATACAAGAATACGGCGACGATAAATTCGCCCTTGTTATAGTTCGCACTAAATGCATCCGCTCGAACTGGCGTCCATTCGAACTGGCGTCCGCTCGAACTGGCATCTGCTCGAACTGACATCCGCTCGAATTGACTGGCATCCAAGAAAAACACATATATTAATGTTTAATTTTGTTCACGTTAAAACACTGACATAAAACATGAGTGTATATACTGTAGATCTAATCACCAGTGACATGTCGGTCCTTTTCAAATATTTGCGTTACGTCATCTATTAAGACTGGCACTGCAGATCACACACGATGATCGGTGAAACGCGAACGATAACGTTAAAAAGTACAATACTGTACTTAGTACTGTCATCAATAAATAGGCGTATGGTTCCACTCAGTAAGTGCCATGTCATTTATGTGTATATCCATTATCAAACAAGGATCATATTCGTACACTTTGAATGCACATGCATAACCGATATCTCCTTGATTTACCCAACTTTACATAGACTTTGTCGCTGTTATGGTACTTACCCCAATCGTAAACATCGTTTGTATCAGATCGAGAGAATGAGTTTCTACAATCGTGATTGTTGGTGTCAAATTTATCCAATATACCTTTGAATCTGATTCGGGCCCATTTAAAGTGCTAGTAATCCTATAAGAATCAAGAATCCTCTTATTTTCAGTTTACAGTACTGTATATTTAGTTTTTTAGTGCATATGTTCTCATGTAAACAGATTAGACCAAAGACTGAGTAGTATGTCAACGCTCTTATTTAAGCGAAGGCATAAGCAAGCTAGCCTGGGCCCACGTCCTGAGGATTCATGCCTTCCTTGACATGGCTATATGATAAATGACATGACTCTTATTACTGAGTGGAACCCTTATGCCTATTTATCGATGACAATACTGTACTCTTGCCTAGCTAATCAGGTTCTTACATTTTGCTAGTCACACCGCTCACCTCACACCACCTCACACTGTGGGCGATCCGCAATGCTGGTCTTGAAAGATGACGACACCCACATTCTGGCCCTTCATTGGTTGATGGTGATGTAATGCCATTTACCGTACATTTAGCATATTGAAGTAGAAATACGGTAACGTATCTCTAGCCACGGTGTTATTTGAATAACACAAAAATAATTTATAAGAGAAGACAGTATGTTTATTTCATCATACATGACAAAATAGTGTCCCTGTGTTCAAAAAACAAAGTTCCTATTTTATTTGACCAGATCAGGCAGGGAGGGGGAACTTAATTCAGGGGGTGGGGTGGACCTGCCATTTCTTTGTCACCTGGCTGTGGTCTGGTGAACATTAATAAAGCATTATTATCAAATATCAGCCTAAAGCCAAAGGTTTGCCATTTATTTCTGATGACATTTCTAAGGGGATAGTAAACTAAAAGGCCTTACTGTATACTGTACATCATGTAAAGCTATATACTGTACAGTATAAATTTTTCTTGGGCTGTATTGGGAGAAGGTTGCAGTATTGGCAAAGTGTTCAAAAATCTTTGGCCAATGAGCCTAATTTATACATGACAAAAGAAATTAAATGAAATATTGAATATCTTTTCTGAGGCATATGTTTATGCCTTACTTTTAAGATGTTTGTTCCTCAACATCTATTTCAGACACGGTTTCAGTGATAACAAATGATGGACGAGTAATTGTTGTAAGTAAATATTCTGGTACACATGGCATGCTAGTTTAAAGTTGATTAATTCAAGCATGGCATAAAACCAGCATAGTAACAACCAGCAGATTATAGGCCTAGGCCTAACACCTGAGATAAAATTTCCACTCAACTTTCACTGAAGTATACCTCTTTGCTGCGTGAGACAAAAAATTGTATATAGCGCCCTCTATGTAAAAATCAATTACTGATTACAGTCGTCGCGTGGTATAGCTTCGTTAACATAAATTTATATTCCCTTGTATTCACATTTTAATGACGAATTCACTTCATTTTTATGAATTTTAATGTATAATTGGCCTATACATTTTATCTTTTATAACAATTTTGATTGATGCTTGAGATAATACAGTACGACGTAGGCGTCAGACGTAAAAAGTGGATGCTCACGTGTGAGACTGTGTGAGAGTTGGCAGGTGCCCTAAAGCTCTATGAACACCATTTCAGTTTTATGTGACAAATTTGTGTGAATTTCGTTTGTGTAAATTAGGCAAGACTTTTTATATCTTGCTGAGCAAACCCTCCAACTGCCAATAATGGTGATTTTGATTTTTTAGCCAGTGAGTGCACTCATGAAAATTTTAATTTTCAAAAAATAAAATAATTTTTGTTTGTTTATTTTTATTGTGCCCACTGTTCGTCTGAAATCCACCAAAATAAGATATTTCTTCCTTAATTATACTGTATAACTTAAATCATTTATCAATCTTCATACTAGACTGTCCTCCACCTATATGCTTTGACAAAATCATTTTGAAATAAGAAAATAGAATTTTGTTTATATTTTTGCCCACCCTCTGACAATCTTTAAAAAAATAAGTTCACTAAACAAGGTATTTAAAAAGTCTCGCCATAGTAAAATTGTAAGAACAACATTTGTTTCCTTTCTATAGGGTACCCTTAAGGGGTTTGATCAGACTGTGAACCTGATATTAGACGAGAGTCATGAGAGAGTGTTCAGCTCAGCTCAAGGTGTAGAGCAAGTGCTGCTAGGCCTGTACATAATTAGGGGTGACAACATGTAAGTATAAAGCACTGCCAAAAATGCTTAAGTACCTCCAAGGGGTCATTCGGGGCTTGCCATGCCAAAACCATGAAAGCAGCTTCGCTCAGTCATCTAAACTAGTGTAGGCACTGCGTATGTGCTGGAGATCTCTAGGTCCCTAGTTGCCATCGCTGCGCTCCTTTTAATTTAGCTGGAGAGCCGAAATGCAAGTTACAGTAGTGCACTGTTTTTTGGATGGGATGTTTAAGCCGTTGTCACGTGTGCATTTTGCAGAACGCAGTACACTATTCAGAAAAGGGTAGGGATTGTCTACCTGTGTACTGTACCAGAAGGACCCCACTGGAAATAAGTCTTCTTTAGACTTTCGTGGATTAACTTTGGTGTTTACAATGAATAAATCTGTCCATCCATGCACCAGAGATATCCGAAAGGGAGGGGGAACGATTGAGGAACAACACTACTCCAGGGGTTCCAGATGCATGCCCCCGCAAAATTGTTGTTATCTAGACTGACCAGGCATTTTACGTGAAAATAATTTCTTTCTTTTTCTCTCTTTTTTTTTTACTTTCCAAAAAGAGAGCCGGCTAGGTCCCCCTACCCATTAAATCAGCCACTGCCTAACACCTCATTGCTTTTATATTTCGCTGAGCACAGGATTCCTTATTAATTTTAAAACAAATTTAAAATTAAAAAACAATTACTATCTATTAAACATTCTTTATATTTTACAGAGCTGTCATTGGAGAAATTGATGATGAGACTGACTCATCGATGGACATGTCAAATATTCGAGCAGAACCTCTGAATCCAGTTGTGCATTAACTTAAAAATGAGAAAAAAAGACTGTTACTACAATCAGCAATTAATTACTGTGTGTGTAATACATAAGCCTGTAAATAATTGAAAAAAAAAAAAATCAAATACACAGCTGTTATGTCACCTGGGATTCAACAATTGAGGTGTTGGCATCTTCTGATGTGTACTAGGCTAGTAGAGTACTGTAATATTGTGAAATCGAGTATTTTACTAGAGTTCGAAGTACGACGGTTTTTCGACCGTCAGCTGACGAATCCAACCCCAATCACTGTGAGCATTAGAGACACTACGCTGTCTGCTGATGGTCGATGGTAGTCTGAACAGATCCTCTTTAAAAACGATCCGTTGCACACGCATCATGAGATTTGACCTTCATGCGCAGTGAGAACCCAACTTTACAGCTGTAGAGTAAACGTAAGATTTTTTTTATAAAACATGGTCAGTGGTCTATAATTGAAATTATTTACCATTATACTGTATGTGAACTAATGAAAACTGCTAGTGTAGTGGGTTTTTATTTCCCATAAGCTGAAAAATCAGAATTTTTATAATTTCCTATGGTATAATACAAATTATATATTTCAACTTATTTCTGTGTCCATCAAAATTTGAATGTTGAGGTAAATTTGTTGTGTATCCTTTCTAACTCCTATGTAGAAATTTAGGTCATCAGAATGCTACTGGTCTCTCAAAACAGCTACCAGATTGTTCCATAATAGTATTAGAGAAAATAATTTGTTCATTGTACATACGCAAAAGCAAATGATTTTTTTATGATTAGCATAATGACCTCTAAGATAGTGTAGAGGTCTGTTCACACTGTATGATGTTTACCTCTGATTTTCCTATAATGGGCTGTGAACCTTCTCGTCACCAAATGATTTGTTAGTGTGGACAGATCATTACTTGATGTACTGCCATCAGCTTTCGAGTACTGTATGTGCCTTTTGGGTGTTTTTGTGTTGGTCACATTCACAATATTTCCATGTGGACATTATCTTCATGATTTTCATGTGCAATACCCGACATGCATGCTTGGAAAATTTTATTTCCTATTCTGTCAACCAAACTTTATTCTCGATGGTGTTGAGGAATACCATAAAACCTCTAATTGAAGCCCTGTGCTTCTTTTGTTTTTTTGCAAACTTTGGTTGGGCTTTTTTCCAAGATAGGCTTCTTTTCAAGGATACTTTTGCAAAGTAAAGAAGGGGGGGGGCTTCTTTTCAAAATGAATGCTGTAGAGTTTGGAAATTACTACTATAAAACAATCAATAGAGCCACTTTTTAACATCAATCTGTATCATGGAGTGTATTAACCAGCATTAAATCACCTAAACTACTGTATAAACCAAGCATGTTTTATATTTAATTTTATTTCTTTGAAATTCTTATACAGTGTATGTACTGTACTATCTCGAAAAAAGGCCGATGATATCTTGAAATGAAGCCCATTTCGAGGCTACTTTTTGCAAACTGAAGAGGGGGCTTCTTTTCGAGATTAAGCCCATTGGGCTTCTATTCGATGATTTAGGGCATGTGTTTGACCAGCCTATCTGCAGTCATTTATGGTACATAGTGATACAGTGTCATCTGTCATTGGCCTTTCTTTATACCAAAATAACAATATAATTATAATACTTGTAATGTGATGTATTATGCGACCTTGAATTCTTTATGTCAATGTGTGACCATGGTGTGACGATAACACAATGGAGTTCTTTGTAAACCTAATTCCAACATTTATGTACAGTACTTTTTGTAGACAGAACATGGTCTGTTAAATCTTTGACATTAAAACTGGCTCTTCGTACTATAACATGGTCTGTTTTAAAATTTGACGTTGAAACTGGCTCTTTGTAATAAAACATTGTATATATTTAATTCTGATTTAGAAGAATGTTTTTGATATTTGTTCTGTTAATATTAAATACTGTATATAAAACTATAATGTGCCCATATTCCGAGAGGCTACTCACTCACAAACCGTATTTAAAGTTCCTTTTTACTACCTATGGACAGGGCTTAGAGGAGTAAGATGAGCTACAGAGAAAATGACCCTACTATACCCTACTATATCGTATTTATTCGAAAACGCTCCGGAGCGTTTATTGTTGAGAGGCACGGTTGAGGTGAGTTTCTGAGGAATCGTTTATTCGAGGGAGGCGTTAATTTGTGTGCGTGTGTGTAAAAAAACTGAATAAACTCCCCTTAATTTTTACTGTAATTGTGTACATAATATACCTGTACTTAATAAGTATAACACGTAATTCCCGTCAAAATATGTAATTGCGTAATCGTAAAGACTCTCTCCACCCAGGAGTACAAGTGGGTACCTGGTACGTTCGAACACAACTGCGCTGATTACTAGCTGCAATATTATGGAATTCTCCCCAGGGAGCTGATGTGTTTCATATGTGTTTGATCCAATGACTGGGGTAGTAATGTGAAGCGCTTAGAGGCATTGTACATGAAAGCGCTATATAAGAGCGATAATAGAGTACTGTAATACAGTGTTACGTCACGATACCACGTGATATTCTATTCTTTATTTGGAAGCTACACTTTTACAACAGTGGCACACGTAGAAAACGGTGCGTCCAAGAAAAATATAAGAAAACAAACAAAATCAAAACATGACAAATCAAAAGTAAAAGTAAATGAGCATAATAATAATAATAATAATAATAATAATAATAATAATAATAATAAAATAACATACCCATATACATACATAAACATCCATACGCGCAAACTGTAAATATATATACATAAGCAGCGAAAGTAAATAAAATACAAAAAAGAATACATCAAATCATACGCAGTTAATCAGAAATGCAACAGCAAAGGAAGAGCAGTACAATTTAAAAGAGTGGTGAAATGGTCAAGCGTACCTCTCAGAACATTGCTAATTTTTCTCCAATAAAAGTACACTTCTTAATTTCCATGCCCGACAAGCGTACGATTTACAGAATTTATCAAATAAGAGGGCAATATCGTTACTATTGAGGGCAATATCGATACTATTGCTATTAAGACGTTGTATCTTACTTTTTCTTTGTAAATTTCAATTGATGATTAAATGTGTGTTCAATAACTAATATAATGCGAGCTTTCGTGTTTTTAGTAAATTTTGATGGTAAAATATTAGATTTGAAAATGTCTATTCCAGAAAGCCTATGAAATCATTCAGGCGTAATGAACGGTCACCAACGTCTTTTGACGACAGAGAACGCCACCTGGCGTCTTCACGAGACGACTGTGGTACTCTATTGATCCCAACCAGGTTAGAAAAAATATAATTTCACTTGAGTATTGTGTTAATAGAATGTGCTGAGAATGTTGTTGTTTCATTAGATTTGCTTACAGACAGGGAGCGTTTATACGAGAAAAGATCAACGCCACGGGGCGTTTATTTGAAGTAGGCGTTTATTTGAATATACTGTATTTTTTATAATACATTCAGTATTTTAACAAAATTAAATACATGCTTCAGAAATAGTCATTTCATGATAATTTTGAATGTGCAATAATTCACTTAAGCTCTGTTCAAATTATCCAATTTTCTTTGACAAAAAAACTGTTTTATGCCCATGGTCATGGTGTGATGTCATCATGACCTGACATCATGACCTGATATAGGCATGTCTTATGTCTTTGTCAAATAAAATTTGAGTACTGGAAGGGCTTAAGAAAAGAAAACAATGATTTGAAATTTCTGATAGCCGTAAACTAGATTCAAGAATTGGCAAAGGAAAGAGTGAAATAAGATGAAAACATAACCACTGTAGACCGATACTAAACTTCACGTTATCGATTTAATACTTATGGGAGCTTTCGATTTATGCGACGAGACGACGCGACGCTACAACGAAATCACTCATGCGTGACCGTCCTACCTGGCGTCCCAAGTTCTCTGCATTCGTAGATTTGGCTAAATTGAGTTCCAGAATCTACTCGACGAGGTGACCTTAACGCATGCGCAGATGACTTTAACTGACGTCATTACGTTATACGTCCTACCGTCGTCGTGCAATCGAAAGCTTCCTACTGTAATTAACGAAACTTTTTTTTTTCGTTCGATTTTTGAATCGAAAGTGAATAACTTTCCTAAAAAGCAACAAAATGGCCAATTCAAGGTTTAATTTTTGTAAACATTCATATTTTTTTGTTAGAAGGGACAATACAACTTTAAGTAATACCCGTGAAAGTAAATCAAACTGGTAGAGAAAACCGCATAATTAGGAATCAATGTGAATTAGAGAAGATAGAGTTGATGAGAATCAATACACATAGTAATGGGTGGAAAAGTTGTACAGTATAGGCCTATGTACTGTTAAATTGTTGGTTATATTCTTGGTGCTGTAACAAAAAAAATAATATGGGGAAAATAATTACAAAAAGACAGCCTTTCATCCAAGGAATATGTAGACCTACACAGTACTGCTAGTGAAGTATAGTAATTGAATTGAAAATTATGCAATAGAGTCGACACCACTGTCTGATATTTATTTTATTTTACAAAAATACACCTACAAAAGTTTTTTTTTTCAAATATATGAACTAGAACTAAATAAAATATTCAAACAATTACCGTATATTATGGCCTGCTAATATAAAGTCAGTTTTAAAATTCAGCCTTTAAAATACTACAATAATTAAAATATCATATTAGCCTGCCCAAAGGAGCGAAGCTTCGGGTGGCTTTACTGTGTTATTTGTCACGTTGTCGTTGTCTTCACCGCCGTTGTGGGTAGTAAATTGTGTGTGAGAACGATAACTAATTTAGTAAAGTTTTGTAAGTCTAATTCGTTTCCAACTTGGCAGAATACAAGATAATAAGAAGACGACGGAGCCTATTGTTGTTTGTTGTGTGTGAATATTCTAATTGCTCATTAACAGAGCATTGCATTCAAGAAATTTACCCTGGTTAACCACGATAACTAAAGTTTCCAACACCATTTCCAACTTCGGCACAACACACTTGCTTAACACTAGATGTAACTGTAATACTGGTATAGGCCTATGCAGCATCCCTCATGTTGATAGTATGTTAGATTCGGTTTTAATTGTTTAAGGAAAACATACTGTAAACCTTCTCAAGCGTTTTGCAAAATTTCACTTGTTTTGGAATCTGTCGGTAGAAAAAATTATGTACCAGTAAAACACATTATGAATGTTCCAATATTACTCGTATTTTTAGTGAAACCTCATTATAATGTTTAAAAAAAAACATGTTTTCAGAGTACGCAGATGTAAACAGGAGGCTGAAATTAAATAAATAATTAATTAATTTACCTTTTCGCGAATGTTTTTGTGGCTTTCGTCGAGTGATTTCCTTGAATGTTGGCAAGAAAGGCATATATTCGAACGCTTTATGTTTTTTAAGGAATTCCATGACCAATGGGATGTCATAAGACTTTAAACTGCCAACATCATTATCAGCCACTTCTTCAGAGCCACATTGCTGTCGCCACAATTTGATTCCTCGCTCTTCTGCAGTACCTATGAATTAAAGATCGAAACCCGTTAATTAGATATTTTGGATACCACAACGTTTGTAGTGAAAAGTACCAAATGACGAAACTTTACTACACATTTTTTCCTATTCGTCAGTTTTAGCAAAATGAAGAAAAAAATTCAGGCTAAAACCATTTGCTTTTAAAGGAAAGCTAAGTAAAGCCAGTTACAAGAAAACCCGGTAGAAATATAGTTATATGTTGGGAAAGTTCAAATATGGTACTTTATTGATACATCAAACATCTTGATATTAAGACAACATTAAAGAAACACAATTTACAAGACAATAAAAGAAGCACTAAATTCCAGAGACTTCTCTCTCCATAAAAACAGCTCGTGTAACTTTGAGGAGTGGCAGCAAAATGTCAAAATCCTGACTACTCATGAGAGTAATGAATTTATCATAATCATTTAAGCTATCAAAATTGTTTATACCATCCCTAACGTTCGAAAATAAAGTGTTTCTATGGTTTAGAGTATTGAATAGTACAATTCATCCTCTAATCCCCAGAATTACAATTGTTACATATTCTCTTGTCGGGTCTATTTTTTTGTCTAGTATACCGAACTCTCTCAATCATTAGATTGTGAGCACCGGTTCTCAGTTTGCTGTAATACGATCTAAAACTTCTCTTTATAATAAGTACGTAGCATGTTTTGAGTGTTATTAAAACTATATAACCATTGATTAACGAATCAATAATACGTTTGAGATTGGCTAAACTGAACGTGTTTGGTTTAATCCAAACATAGTCTAGGCTAAGTTGCATTCATTTAGTAAAGATGATATACCAGACGATCATGTATATCCATACTATTTGTTTGAATCGTAAAGTTTTCTATTATCAGTTAAAGCATCAATGGCAAATGATTTCCTACACTTTTCATTTAGAGAATGCCAATATTTAACAGCATGACTAAACATGGATATTAACACGGGGTAGCAACCTAGTTCGCTTCTGACTGCGTTGTTTGTCTTTCGTTTACCAACACCAAGTAAAACTTTGCAAATTTTAAGATGAATCTGTTCGCCACAATAATCGTTACATATCGAATGGATATTATTATGGTTGAGCCCGGTAAGTAGATACATAGACCATACCTCTCTACCATAGGATAGGATTGGTAGAATTAATGATTTTAAAAAGTTTCGTGGTAATTCTACAATTTTCCCCAATATTACTAAGTACTTCGTATTTTGAAGTAGGTTCTATTGCATAATCTGTTCAATTGTCAGTATGACACAGGAAATTTGGCTTTTACCTGGTATCGTGTTATCCAATATAAAACCGATAAAACCACCAACAAACATACTGGTCTTCAGAAGAACTTCGATAATCTGATTAATTTCTGTAACACCTGTTGAATATAAATATTACATTAGAATTCAATGCATTATTTAATAGTATCATTTTGCTTTTTGTACAGAAACCTTCGATATTGTCATTGATTATACTAATATAGGCCTATTGCCACACAAAAAAACGAAAAAAAAAACTCTAAATAAATAAAAGTTCGAAAAAGCTCATTTTATTAATTACATTAGTTCTACCTTATAAGGCCCGAGTCACAAATCAAACAAACTATGTTCCGTTTCAGCCAAATAATATTAAACCCAGGCATTTTTGAACACAAACGGTTAAACTTTTCATAACAGTTTCATAACGAGTTCATAAATGACAGCCACCGAAAATTGACTTCTGTTACTGTTGCCAATTACATCTCACCCCCGTTAAATAGGCCTAATTAAATAAAAGCATTACTATTAACATTTTTCATACTATAGTTGGGAAAGGATTACAGATGTTTGAATAAACCTGATAATAATTTGAATTTAAAATTTAAAAAAAAAAACTATGCTAGCAAAATGAGTGTCGCAAATATTATATTCCAAGTCTGTTAAATTCAACATGGAGAAGTGTACATTCATTTCAAGTTATTTTGGATAGACGATACAAAAACACCATGAATAAAAGAAATTAATTCGATCTACCTGTATTTATTACGCCAGAATTACCAGTTATCCACGACGGCACAGCTAGCCCCATTAGGAAGGCAAAACCAACGATAAAAATGTTTCTTGAAGAATTCAGGTCAACGAATTGTAGGTTTGATAATCCTACTCCAGTGATCATCCCTGTATCAAGCAAAGAATTAATGACGGTATGGTGTAGTAGTAGTATTTATTACTGTATATGAATAACAATGATCATTTTTGAATACTATTTATCTTCATCCTGATCATCATCATAATCATAGTTAAGCCTACTATTACTATTTTTAATTTTTGGTGAAATGTTATTTTTTACCAAGCCAAAACACGTATATCAGAAACAATACAAATTTTCACTACAGTTTAGAGAAGCTTCGTTGATCATCTTCAATTAGGTGCCGAAACTGTAATGGTACGGTACCTCATGACGCTAAGAACTTAATCTCGGCTCTATAGCCTGAAGACGATCAACTTAAAAAGGCTGATCGAAACTAGTGAAAATTGGTATATATCTACTAGTTTTTTGGCCTAGGCTTATTAAAGAAGAAAAGTTCACCCGAAATACACTGGAAGCCGCAAAGTGCAATTATGTGAATTATTTTTATCATTATTTTTCACCACATGGATAATATTTGACTCTGTTGTTTTGCCGAGCAGTTTGAGTTCTTTTCTCAGAGTCTAGGTTATTGTGTAGCTTTCAAAATCGTTGCGACAGCAAACTGAACCACCGCTCCTAGCTTCTGCAATGACCGCGAAAGCTACAGTAAGTACAATTTATCTAAAGCTAAATTATACTATAGTACAGTATGTAGGCCTATCTTAAGATTGTCATGAATCTTTGATATAGGTTTACTATATATTTTACTTACCAAACATGATACAAAATACACCACCGACTATTGGATCGGGCATTGCAACAAACACAGCGCCAAATTTGCCGAAGGTTCCCATGAAAATCATCATTATAGCTGCTACTTGTACTACGAAACGACTCCCGACCTTGCATTAAAAAAAATACGCTACTGTAAGTTTAACGATATACTTCCACCTAAATTTATAAAACTTAACATAAAATAGAACTGCTAAAATTTGTATTCTGTAGTTCAATTATTCATAACTTTCTCGTCAATTAACGAAAGCTATAGTTTTGCATAAAGGCCTACCCTTAGTTGTTTTTTGGCAACAAACTTAGGGATTTTGGTAGCAAAAATGTTTGTAAATTAGTTTAAACTGTGACTTATTCATTAAAGGTTAGTTACAATTATAGGTTCCTTTAAATAATAATAATAGTAATAACAATAATAATAATAATAACAATAATAATAATAATAATAATAACAATAATAATAATAACAATAATAATAATAATAATAATAATAGTAATAATAGGCCTAACAATAAATTCAAAGTTTTATTTTAATACAGTATTTAAGGTTTTTCTAATGCTTGTTTAGCAGTTAAAATTCATATTCATATTCTATTCATATCCATTGAAGAAGCTTCTTTTTCGCACTCGCCTATCTCTCTTCTCTATGTTTAAAATGTATGTAGAATACTTCATTATTGTAGCATTAGCGCAAGGTAGTTTAGAGTTTGTCTCGATACAATATAAAGTCACACATTCTTAACCATCTCGCGCTAATGATAATATAAGTAATGATAATAGACATTTCTTTGGCGATCAAATATAGTAGAGTCGAATGGCGCCGCAACCTACAACCATAATATCGGCGCTGGTTCGAACGGCAAGCTCGTCTATGGTCCAGTACATCTTTCGGAACAAATAAGGGGTTGCGCGCCCCGGTGCACTGGTCCAACTCCCAGCCCAGCACTGTGGATGGCACGCCTTCTTGGCCTGCGCATGACACGACGGGACCCTTAGAGCAGAGGTAAGTTGTAAGAATGAGTAGTCCACATCTGTCTATGGCCGAAGCCTTCAATTGTGAAGTTGCCCCCCACCCCCCACACCCATCCGGAAGCTTAGAAGAAGAGAAACATAAAATGAGCGCCAGGCCTGTTAATAAAATGGAATGTTGCAAAACCACGTTTTTAGTATGTTATTTAGAGCTTCATTAAAAACAATCTAAATACGGTATATGTTTCATAGCCCATAAGGGTAGACATAAAGATTATAAATAGCTCACTACAGATAGCCTAACCAATCATATTGAAAAAATACAACAGATGATTTTATTAGTAGGTAATTTACCGTCTGTAACGAGAATAGTAATTAAAAACAGTTAGAAAATTAAAATAATGAGCCCTAATTTACATATTATGTACAGTGTAAGTTATACACTTTGCACAGCTTGTTATTAAAGCTCGGTTTCCATCGAATCCTATCGGCGACAGTCGTCGAAATTTGTCGGGAAGTTTGAACCTGGTTCAAGCTTGCAGATTGCGTTGTTGCAGACGATTCGGGGTGCCTTCCCGATTACGTCAGGGAAGATAGCAATACACCCTGATTCGTCTGCAACGCTATCGACAAATTTGAACCAGGTTCAACCTTCCCGACTGGGTGTCGACGACTGTCGCCGATAGGGTGAGCGATTCTATGGAAACCGAGCTTGAGTAAAATTACAGCACTATAGTTGAAATGTAAATTATAAAAAAAAGTGTTTAACCTTTGTTATACCAATTGCTCCAATATTTTCACTGTAAGAAGTGGTGCCATTACCACTGCCCCACGCTCCGGCCAGAATGCAACCGATTCCTTCAATACCAATTCCACGGTTGATAGCATGGGGAGGGGGAGGGGGAGCTCCGGCCAATCGTGCACAAGCGAAATAATCTCCAAGTGATTCTATCATAGACGCAATCACACCTGCCAACATTCCAAACACACCGGCTACACTGACACTAGGTGTACCCCACTGGCCTATTGAAATAATTAATAGTGGTGACAACAACATTAATAATGCTACATATATATACTGTCTCTTATACACATCTAGATGTGTATAAGAGACAGATATTTGACTCTGTTGTTTTGCCGA